TAAAAAAAATCTTAAAAAAAAGATAAAATATATATATATATATATATATATATATATATATATATATAATTTAACCAGAATCATTATAGTTTCAATTCATTCTATTTAAATTCTTAAAGTTATAAAAGTTTACTGACTACTAAATTGTCAAATATCAATCATTGACCCTCGCCATTTAATAAGTTTAGAAACAAATTTTATTTTATTTTTTATTTTAGGAAGTAAATTAATCGGTAAGTTGATGAATTATTCTAAAAATTTTACACATTAATTTCTAATTATACCATATATTGTTTTTAAGATTTGAGAAGCAGGGTTTATGCAATTAATTAAATTATGCACGCTTTGTGCAGGGATTGATGCCAAATGGTCAAGAAGTGGCGGTTAAGAAGCTGTCATTGCAATCAAGGCAAGGAATTAAAGAGTTCACCAATGAAGTCAAGCTATTACTCAAAATTCAACACAAGAACTTGGTTATATTACTGGGTTGTTGTGCAGAAGGGCCTGAAAAGATGCTTGTTTATGAGTATCTGTCTAACAAAAGCCTTGATCACTTTCTGTTTGGTATTGAAAATAGATGTTTATTAGGGCTCGTTTACTTGTCCCTTTAATTTTTGTTTTCATTTTCTGTTTTCACATTTTAATTACAAAATTGTTTTGGATGTTTCTTGTACAAATTTTTGAAAACGGGAAAAATATTGAAAACAAGGTGATAATTTTATAATTAAAAAGTGAAAACAGAAAGGGGACCTTACTTTTCCTCTGTTTTGTGGTTGTTTGTGGGCAGTGATTGATTGACAACAGTTATAACATGACGATTTTCAGATAAGAGAAGGTCTCCAATTTTGGACTGGGCAACACGATTTAGAATAGTTACAGGTGTGGCAAGAGGACTTCTCTACCTGCATGAAGAAGCCCCGGAAAGAATTATTCATAGGGACATTAAAGCTAGTAACATATTGCTGGATGACAAACTAAATCCAAAAATTTCAGACTTTGGCTTGGCAAGATTGTTTCCTGGGGAGGACACTCATGTGCAGACATTCAGGATTTCCGGTACACAGTGAGTAGATTCTTCCCTCCTTGTTGTTTGTTATTGAGGTTTAGGTATCCTTATACTTTTTATATTTGATGGATGCAGTGGTTACATGGCTCCTGAATATGCTTTGCGTGGATATCTATCTGTGAAGACAGATGTTTTCAGTTATGGAGTCCTGGTGTTGGAAATAGTTAGTGGAAGAAAAAACCATGTCTTGCACCTTGGTTCAGAAAAGGCAGATCTCTTGAGCTATGTAAGTTGATCAGATGGCACGCATGAATGCAAATTTTGTGTGGACAGATTGTGCTCGTGAACTAAGATTTTTGTCATGAATTAATGACCTGCTTCTGTAATATAAATTTTTTTACCAAGAAAAAATGCATATTTTCTACTTATGCTAGGGATTAATAAAATGGAAAAGTGATGGGTCACTAGAAATGATGCTGGTTCTTGATATTCTCTTGTATATGTTAAGGTTAGTGCCCCAACAGGCAGGCTTCTGAATAAAGTCTATGGCTGTGCCTGTACTTCTTCCACAAGTCTTGGTGTTACCTGAGGAGGTCAAAGCACACAAGTTCTAGTTGCAAATTAGATTCTCCACCCACACGGGTAAAGGTTAACATAGATCTAACCCTCCTACCTTAAACCCATAATAGTGGAGTTTTGTGCACTACGACACTCTAATGTTAAAATCTATTTCAGAGAAACCTGTTCACTAATTAGGGTATTTGAAGTATAGATAAAGGCAACGTGCAGGTGATAATGCTTACAATTTTTTTTCTTTACAAGTCACTGTTGTTGGTTACCAACTTTTATGACCTCATTGATGTTAATTTGTCAGCCAGTTTATGCCTTTCTTGGAATATGTACTTAAGTAGTAAGACTCTGTGATTGTTCATCTGCAACTATATGATTTGGTGTATGCCTTTGTAAGTGAACATGGTGAAGTTTTTGCGTTGAAGTGGCACCATAGAGCATCTTCCATATGAACTGGACAGTAAAACCTGCATTTTATGGAACGATATGCATATTACTCCCTATTAGTTGACTTATGTTGTCAAAGGGAGTTAACATGAATTTCAAACTACCACCGATACCAATCATTAAGCATAACATGTGACCATTTCTTTCACACTCGTTCATTTTCTTCACTGAATTTTGTAGGCATGGTCGCTATATCAAGGGGGTAAGATAATGGACTTAATTGACCCAACCCTTGGTAAATACAATGGTGATGAGGCAGCAATGTGCATTCAGCTAGGTTTGTTGTGTTGCCAAGCAAGCATAATTGAAAGACCTGACATGAATGCTGTTCATCTTATGCTCTCAAGTGATTCCTTCACTTTGCCAAGACCAGGTAAACCAGGAATTCAAGGTCGTGTTGGACGTTGGACTACAACCACAACTTCTGCTTTGACCAATACCAATGCTAGTAGTGCTACCAGGGCCTCAGGTGGTAGTAGTAGTTTTGTAGAGGATTATTCTAGAAATTCTATATCTACCTCTTCTTTTGATGAAGGCAGATGAGAAGACCTACATTCATATTGTATAGAGTGTAACTGAAGCTCACTATTTATTTAAGGGTATTTTTTTTTTTGTAATATCGTATTTATATCAGTAGAGAAATAGTTTGATGTATTTAACAAAGGATTGAGGCCTTTTTCTTTGCTGCATTATATTTTATTTAGATAAATTAATTCAAAATTTTTTAATTTTAAATTCTTAATTTAGATATAGTAATTTGATTTCTACCATGATAATATTGATTATATATATATATAAAAGAGAGAGAGGGATATTTTAAGATTAAATTTTATAAAAATAAATATTAACTAATTTCTAAATATTTAATAGTTTTAAAATTAATATTAAATAGTATTTAATAATTTAAAAAATATTTTGAATATTCAATAATTAAAAAAATATTAATATTTTTTTATATAGGTAAGATAAGAAAAATATTAAAAAAATTAAAATTCTTATTTTTCTTAGAGAATTTAACAAATGTTTGAATTTTAAATTTTTTCTATATTATCCATTCAAACAAATTATAAAAGATTTTTTTGAGTCGGATATTTTTGAATTCTAACTTTTTATTTGGCTATATATCAATTCTTTGAAAGCAAGCGTGATCATTTATTGAATCGTCTGACCCTTTAGTTGATTGTGACTATTGACTTGATCTCCAGTCGATTGGGATTCAACGACTGAATTCTTGTGCCACTATCAAAACATGGTTCAATTGGTATTCAATTACTTTTTGATAATAGACGAGACAAGGTGCTTGGATTTCCAGGTTCATATATTGTCACTGTTCAAGAACACTCCTTTGTTAATCTTCTCCTTGATAATTGATCTCCAAAACTCCCAAGATGATAATAGCTCAAATCCTTGCGCCGACTTGTGGGGAGGGTACCTGTAAAGATACTCTAACGCTCAAGTAAATATTCGGTTCAAAGTAATAAATATTAAATGATCATACCTTCTTTTTGTCCCATTAATGCTTTGTATTTATAATAATGTATTTGGGTCAAATGGGCTTTTTGGATTAAGAGGTTATTAATTTGAGTTTTATATTATAATTTAGGCTGATGTGGATTTTTATTATTTAGCTAAGATTAAGAGGAATGGTGTTTCTTTTGGCGGGAAACAAGTTGGCCTCTCACGTGGTACCCCTTTGGATTATGATCTGGCTGAGGGGTACTCAGCTCCCATGATTCTCGGGTTGGTATTCGGGCCTTATGGTCTGTTCCACGGTGGTTGGACCACTCGGGCTATGCCAAAGCTGAGAGGGTGTTCGGTTTAATTAGGGACTGATTGGGCCATTGGTAAATCCAGAGATGAGGAGGTGCTTGGGTTAACTGGAGGCCGAAGGGTACCAGTACATATATGATAATAGTTATAATAATATGACTTGTGGGATTATTGATGATAATAAGTAACATTTGAAGTCACTGTCTCCAATGTTGTGGGTTGGAAGACAAAAAAAATATTCAGATTTTTTTTTTTTTCATAAAACATAGTTAAACAAACCTGAACTAATGATCTTTATGTTGAGTTTTACACATTTACTTGTTAAAGAAACATTGGTTTCATTTTTCCAGGCCTAAATTGTCCCCAACTAGTTATGGTGCACTTTTAGCTTCTACAACAATAATGGTGATAAATAAAACGTTTTTATGTACAAATATTCTAAAACATTCACATATTTATTAATAAATAAAAAACCTAATTTTACTTAAAATATACTTTTTATATATATATAAAAAAATATTTCTTCTGTTCATAATTAAATACATGCAAATATAAATTCTACATGCACATAGGCGTCTTTTTTTTGTGCAAATTGAAATTGTTAGTTTTGCTTGCATAAATTAAAATTTGATAATTGAATTTTCTGCTAAAAAAATGGGACAAAATGAAGTGAAGCATCAATGTCAAAAGAATTTATATATAAAAAAAAAAAAAAAAAATCTCCTCATGATAATGTAATTTGAATTTTTTCTGGCTCCTTGATTATTTCCTAGACACCCGTCAGGGTTGGCACCGGATGGTGGATATAAAGACTAATAGAGGTAATACAAACAAAATTTCAAAGAAAATTGGAAACAATACTTGTGAAAACTTCAACCAGACTTATTCAAATCGAGGATTAACTTGTAATTAATAGAAAGAAAAGAGTTGTCTCTAACATATTGTTGACTCAGTATATTGGGAATGTTCAACATTTATCATAACATCACCACACTCTAGCACTTGAAGGTTCTTTGAAAAAGTTTGGGTTACTCACAACCTTGTCAGATACACGTCTTTCAAATTTTGTATAAGACAACGTTGTTATTTTTGCTATGATTGTTGTTAAACATGAACATTCTTTATAACATCACCACATTCTAGACAGTTGGAAGTTCTTTGGAGATGTTTGGGTGACTCACAACCTTGTCAAATATACATTTCTTTCAAATTTTGTGTAAGGCAACAATGTTATTTTTGCTAGGATTGTTATCAAATATTAAGGTTGACCTATAGGAAATATAAGAAAAGACTATTATGATCAAGTAAATGGAATGATTCCTTGACTAAAATTATAGAATATTTAATAAAATAATTGGATAATATCAATTGATATAATGAGTTATTATGAATGTTAATTAAATTGTGTCACAACAAGAGAATCGACTTCATTGATTGTTTCTTAATTGTCTCTTTCTTCAACCATATTTTACATGAATATGTTAAGTTAGTTAGGGCTTAAAGAGAGATTTGAGTTCTTTTGAATGATTAATGGGTTTAGTGTATACATGTGCAAGTGAGTAAGCATGTTTACATGAATGCATAATGGTGTTGAGTGTTGTTTATATATGTCAAGTTTAGGTTCAATTAAAATTATATGTTATATATGAATAAAATATTATACTTATTTCGATGGATGAAATATATGAAGGAAATGTGATACATGTATAAGTTATATGAATACAATAAAATATGTATGTCTATGTGTTACATTTATGTATTATGTGAACGAAATATGTGTAAGAATTAAATAAATAAAAATGTCATCAATATTTATGTATGCATGTTGAAACTTAGGTCTCCTTTAATCGAAAAGATGACCTAAGAGTAATATAGATAAATGTATATATATATATATATATATATATATATATATGTTTTTTATGTTATTTTTTATAGTTAATAAATATATTATATATATATATATATATATATATATATACATTATTTTTTTATTATATCGTATAGATAAATAAGTTAGTTTATCA